CCCTCCTAACACCACCCCCCCGCTGCCTGCAGCCCCCTACACACACACACAGAGCATGCAAACAGCCTGCAACACCCCCACACGTACACACAGTCTGCAAACTGGTGTGCACCCCCCCGTACAGCCTGCAAACCCACGGCCCGGCACACGCAGCCCCCCCCCCCACACACACACACTAACACAGCCCGCAGCCCCCCCACGCAGCAGGCAAACACACGCAGGCAGCACAAACACATCCACAGAGCGCAGCCTGCACCCCCCGTGCGAGCCCTCACACGCACATCCGCAGAGCTCGCGAACCCCGAAACTCAGGGGTGCACACACTGAGCTTGCAAACAGGCTGCCAGCCCGCACACCGTGTGGGCACACGCAGCTTGCAGCCCCCCAAGCTTATGTACACACACACGAATGCATCCACACCCCCCGTGCAAAGGCAGCCTGCAAACACACCCCTTGACCAAACGCTCCATCCCGCACACACCATGCCCTGCACACTGTCACCCATCCCCAGCACCCGCAGGGATCACACACACAGGCACAGGCTGCTGCCTGCAACCCCTAAACACCCTCACAACCTGCCAACAGCCTCTTCCCCATCCCTCTGCAGAGCACATGCACTGCGATAGACACGCGTGCACATGCAGCACCCCGTGTCCTGCTGTCAGGCAGGGTCTGACACCCCATGCACCAAAGCTGGGGCTTGCAGTGGGTGATGGTTCCCCATCTCTCCAGCCCCCAGCAGCACCCCAGGGCTCCTGCTGCTCCACTGAGGGCAGTGCTGAGGTGGAAGGTCCCTCCACAGGTCCCCAAAGCTAGTGGGGATGCAGGGAGAGGGCTGAGGGGAGCAGGCACAGCCAGCAGGCAGATCTGCCCGTCCTGGGGCTGGACACACAGACGGTTGTGCCACGCATGTACAGGGTCCCCAGCCATGTCCCTCTCTGCCCATGCAGGTGGCCCAGGTCAGCAAGCCCGGACAGCAGTGGATGAGCGCTGGGCACTGGCCTAGCCGCACACACACTCCGGCACCATGGACTTTGTCATGAAGCAAGCACTGGGCGGTGAGTGGCTGCTGCCCCCTCTCAGGGTCCCCCCTCTGGGAGCGATGCTGGCTCAGCACCCCGGGGAGCACGGTGGGGAGGACACAGTGGGGGGAACGGAGCCATGGGGAGAGCCAGCAGCAGTGAGGAGCTGCGGGTGGAACCCTCAGGACTCCCATTCCCAGCGCCGGCAGTGCCAGGCTGGGAAATCCCGGCTCTGCCGCTCAGTGGGATTCCCCAGCGGGTCCCCTGGGTGCCAGCACCAAAGGAGCTGCTGGCGTCTCCCCCAGCTGATGCTGAACTAGGACAGCACAGGCAGCCCATGGCAGTCCCCATCCCCAGAGCCCATCTGCAGCTGGCTCCAGAGCTGGTGGCCCTGGGCATGTCCCGGGTTGTCCTTGGCCGGAGGGGTGCTTTATGTCCTTCCCGCCTATACAGGGGCTTCTGCAGCCAGCACCAGGCTGCAGCACCCTTGGGGACCAGCCGATGGTCTTGTGCTGTGCAGGGGCCACCAAGGACATGGGGAAGATGCTGGGGGGTGAGGAGGAGAAGGACCCCGATGCGCAGAAGAAGGAGGAGGAGAGGCAGGAGGCCCTGCGCCAGCAGGAGGAGGAGCGGAAAGCCAAGCACGCCCGCATGGAAGCCGAGCGGGAGAAAGTCCGGCAGCAGATCCGCGACAAGGTGGGCAATCATCTCCCCTGCACCCACACCGGGATGGGGCTGGGGAGGGCGGCCTGAGGCAGCGGTGATGGGCACAGGGCAGAGCGTGGGCAGCACCCACCGCCTGCCCTGCTGAGGGCCTGTGTCCTCACAGTATGGGCTGAAGAAGAAGGAGGAGAAGGAGGCGGAGGAGAAAGCTGCACTGGAGCAGCCGTGTGAGGGCAGCCTGACGCGCCCCAAGAAAGCCATCCCGGCGGGCTGTGGGGACGAGGAGGAGGAGGAGGAGGAGAGCATCCTGGACACCGTCCTCAAGTACCTGCCCGGCCCGCTGCAGGATATGTTCAAGAAGTAACAGCACCACCAACCCTGCCATGGGGTGCTGGGGCACGGGCGCACGATCCCCTCTCCCACCCCTCCATTAGCTCCCTTGAACCTTGCGGGGGAGGTTCCCCACACTCCCTCCTCATCCCCTCCTGCCCTTTTCCCTGGACCAGACCAAACACCCGCCCCGTCCCGTCCAGGCAAGGCCCCCCCCACCACGCCAAAGGGGATTGGCCCTGGCTGGACAAGGCGAACCGGGACCAAATGCACTGATGTAACCTCGTGGCAGGCTGGGGGCACTCCAGGCCCTACCGGCCCCCGGGGTGGCTCCCCATGCCCCTAGCCCTGCCCTTCCTGCCCTTCCAGGGGACCCCGGCAGGCCTCTGCTCGCCTGCCCTTGTCCCCAGCACTGCCATCCCCCTGCCCCATCCCGCCTTGGGCCATGCCCAAAGCACAAAGCCAGGCGCCCTGCCCGCAGCTCCCCCCATCCCTGGTCCCCAGGCACGGGGGTCCCCTGGGGCTGCCCGGTGTGTCCCAGCATCGGGGGGTTGGAGGGGACCCCCCCACCCCTCCCTGCATCTCTGGCCCCATAGTTAAAGCCATATCAGTTAGACTGCAATACTTCAGCACCGGCCGGAGCGGGCATCGCGCTCCGCCAACCGTGTACAAAGGCACGTGTGGGGCAGGGACCCCCCCTGCCTCGTCCCCCCCAGCTCTGTCCCTACCGCTCGCTCGTCCGTGTCTCGTCCCCGCTGACCCCTGTTCTCGCGTTGGTGTCTGTGCCAGGGTGCGCCCCGTCACTCCATGCGTCCTCGTGTTTGCTGCTCACCCTCCCACCCCCCGAGCCCCCCCTGTCCCCGGGGTCACCCGCAGCGCTGAGCCGAGAGCCCCCCACTGCGCTGCCGGGGGCCCCCGCTCTGCCCCCTGCAATAAAGCCAGCACGGGGCTGAGGGCTGCCGGACCAGGAGAGCCCGGCTGCTCCCAGCCCAGTGCTGGACACACAGGTCCCCTGGGCCTGGGAAGGGATCCCTGGGCAAGCATCCTGGGTACGTCCCAGGATCCGCTGCTTGCACCCCAACAGAGGGATGTGGGGGAACAGCCTCAGCCCAGCCCTTGCCGCACCGTGCTCTGCTCTCCCCATGCTTCCTCTGCCACAGCCCCCAGTTGCTCACCAGGGCCCTCCCCGGGAGGAGGCGGGCAGCTCGGGGCTCCACAGACATGCTGTGACCATCCTGCTCGAACTAGTCTTTGACAAAATGATATAATAAAAGGATTTGTACATTGCTTCTTTTCAGTCCTTGCTCCCCCGAGGTCCTGCAGCAGCTCCCTCGCCCCTTCATCCCCCTGCAGGCTGAGACCTCTCAGCTCATCATGTTAGGAGAGGCCACAGGGCCCCAGCAAGGCCATAGATGAAGGGAGAAGCCACATAGAGCCCCCAGAGCCCTGTGCAGTCCAGCTGCCTCTACACACCCCATCCACCTTGCAGGCACCTCTCCAGGGTTGGGGACAAGGCCAAAGGGATGCGTGCTGGTGGGCAACCACCCCACAGACATGGTAGGGGGCTTGTTCCCCTTCTCCCTCATTCTGGGACTCCCCTCACAGAATGACTGGGGATACCCCTGGGGTACATGGGCTGGTTTTGGTGGGTCGCAGCCTTCTGCCCTGCCATGAGCAGGGCACAAGGCTACAGGCAGACTGTGCACAACGGGGCATGCTGTGCCCCCCCCAGGACCCCTGGCAGTACCAGGAGGCCTCCATCCGGAGCCAGCCTCAGCTTTGACTGATTTGCCATCATTTACCAGCAAAGAGCTCAGCTGTTACGCAGGCGGCATCACCAGAGTAGTCACCTGGAAAAGCTTCTGTCAGAAAAACATACGAGGGTAGAAAATGATAGAGATCTTGCAGGCAAGGTCTCCATCGCAGGCAGGCTGCACCCGCTCCTCTGCAGTGACTGCCCTGTGACCAGCACGCCAGCACAGGGGGAAGAAAAGCCCCACAGGACAGCGGCTCCCTGGCCTGGGAGCAGGGACAGGGGACACATCCCCAGCAGGGGTGCAGGGAAGGGCTCTGCCCACAGCTGGTGGCCGTGGCATGGGACAGGCAGCACCTTCTGCAGGGGCCGCAGCCCCGCTCCATCCCATGCTGCCAGACAGGCGCAGGGATACAGACCGGGACAAGTCCCTGTGGCTGCTCCCATCCTGGCCGTGCCGCTGGTGGCACTTGGCCCCAGCGTGGGGGCGCAGCGCCCTCTGGCGGGGTGACAGCGCACGACGGGAGCCAGCAAGAGGGAACAAGGACAAAGGGGACAGCCCCTCCACCCAGACCCCTCAGGAGCGGCCTGCAATGGCCAAGGGGAAGGAGGCAAGGAAAGGGAGAGCAGCTCAGCACCCGCTTCTGCCCCCAGCGCAGCCACAGGCACCTTCTTTATGGAAGAGGATTTATCAAAATTAGAAAAAACAACCACATACAGTAACAAAAAACCCACAAAAGAAACAAAACAAAAAAGCCCCAGATGGGGAAACATCCCCCAGTTCACATCCCCCCACCCTCCCCTTGCTGCCCCCATGCAGGCAAGCAACATGGGACATCTGGGAGGTGAAGGGACAGGCTGTACTCCCCAGACTACCCTTGCCACCCGGCCTTTGGGGCCAAGGGGACATCACGTAGCTGAGCACTGCTGGGGGGCCTGGCCTGTGCAGGTCTCTTCTCACGGGAGGCTCCTCAGCAGTCACCTTCAGTGACACAATTTCTTTGGCCACCTGCCTTCGAAGCAAACATCCCCCCATGTCCCAGAGAGGAGGCAGCAGCCCTCGGAGGGGGCCCGTACCCCATCCTCCCCAGCACGAGCTGCTTTTCCACCAATGCTCCTGAGAACAGAATGCGCTGAGCTGAGCACTGCCGAGCAGGCAGAAGAGGGGAGCCATTTCCTTACTGTGACCTACACTAACTAAGCACCCTCCCATCAAGAGAGCAGGTAAGCACTGCCTCCCCCAGTGAGGATTCATTAGGAATCATTGGGGAGCCCGAAGAGCTTGACAGTTCCTGCCTCCCTGCTGCTGTCGTATTTGCCATCTTTGTCATCACAGGCGAAAGCCAACAGCGGCCTCTTCGGGTGCCAGGCCACTGTGAAGGTGGGGGACTCGCACTGCACCTCCCAGAGCTTCTCTCCTGCATGGAAAAAGGCCTGTGTCAGCCTGGAGAGCCCGAGCCCTCCGCTGCCCTGCAACACACACCAGAGCCAGGCACCCGCTGCTTCCCTGCTGCACAGAGCAGAGGAACAAACGCTGCTTCAGCGCCTTTTAATCACCTGGTAACAAGGCACAGACATGACACGCATGTCTGCCACCGACTAACGAGGCAGAGGCTCCCCCTCACGGCGCTCTGCTCTGCACAGCAACGCTCTCAGACTGATCCTCCTGCTGCCCTCCCAGCTCCAACAGCACTTCTCCCTCCTTGCTGCTTCCCAAAAAGAAACCATTACCTGTCTCCACCTCTGCAATGTCGATGAAGTGATCTTCTGATGCTGATGCCAGCATCTTCCCATCATGGCTAAAGCTCAGCGTTCGCACGGGCCAGTCAAGCCTGCAGCCACAGAGCGAAGCAGACAGCAAACCTGTGGCATCATCTCCTGCACGGGCACCAGGGAGGGGAGGCAAACAGCTCTGGAACAGCACTACCTACCGTGAGAAGCACCTCACACACACCAGTTCATCCACGTCCCAGAGGCTGACCAACGCATCAGCACTGCCCGTGGCAAAGTACTTCCCCATGGGATCAAACTTGATACAGATGCAGTTTGAAGGATGGGCGTTGATGGACTGAATGGGTTTCAGCTCTGGGTAGCTGTGGAGATAGAGAGGGCAGGACGCAGTGAGAGAAGTGGAGGGCTCGAACAGAAGCAGGGCAGGCATGAGGGACACTGGGACAGACCGTGTGCAAACCACCAGTGCAGGGCCATGCTCTTGGAAACGTAGAGAGAATGAGGAAAAGCATCAGGGTTACTCTCAGAGAGCCCAGCTGCGAATTGGAGCAGCCTCAGCTTCAGGGAAGTTCATTCCCACCCCAGAGGGCTGGGAAGCACTGGAGAGTGGGTCTCAGGTTCCCCAAAAAGCAGCAAAGGGGCTTGCAGACTGGTATGTGCCACAGCCATCCTAGCTAGCCACAGCACCTACCTGAGGATGTTGATGCAACCGTTCCCATTAGTGAGGAAGAACATGTTGTTATCGTTGTTCCAAGAGATCTCATTGACCTCAAACTTGAACTGTTCCTCGGCTTTAGAGCGATGTGTCTTGGCATCAATGAAGGTGACCACGTCATCCTTGTTCCCTACTGCAATGGTCTGTCCATCAGGGCTCCAACAGATGTTGATGTTCTCCCCTGGAGGGAGAGAAAGGCAGCAGGTCCCGTTGCCACCCGATAATTCACAGCAGCCACACATCAAGCAGACAGGCAGCTTTTATTCCTGATCCAAGGCCACAATCTGCTCCACTAACTCCAAACCACTCCCCAATGGGAAGGAGTGCCAGACCTGCAGCGTAACACACGTACAGCGGCTGTCCAGCAAATAGTTACTGAAAACTAAACAGGACTGCAACTTCAAGCTGACATGACTACATCATGACCTTTCCCACTTCATACAAAATGGTATCACAGCAACCTCCAAACAAGGTCAACTCAAAGATTCTCTGAATCCAGTGATCTTTGAGATCCAGAACACATAAGGCTGCAGTTATGCCATCTTACAATGACATTTCCAGCCCCAAAACCTCAAAACTGAAGCTTTCCAAGGCCAAAGACGGTATCTGGGTTGACCAGCACATGAGTTGAAATAACTGGGGGTTTCTGAATCCACAAAAACTTTTACTTCCACCATGGCTCTCTGCAACTTTGCCTTTCCCCAGTCTCCAGCCTGGCAGCCCACAGACTCCAGAAACAAGTACACAGGCCATTTTAATAGCTGGCAATGAAATTCAGCATTTTCTCCAGCCCAGACATCAGAGTACATCAGCCCTCACGTTCACTGCTGCTCCTTCCAGATGAGTGCACCACAGAGATAACAGCACTCAGCAGAGACACCCCAACCACCAGTACCCACAAGAAGGGTCAACAGCACTGCATCACTGCTGAGGGGTCCCAAACAGATGAGGTCCTGCTGGGAAGGCAGAGCCTCACCTTTGGTATTGACAGTGGCAATGCACTTGGTGGTGCGGACGTCCCAGATGCGGATGGTTTTGTCCCCGGATGCTGTGACAAAGAGGTCAGGGTTGCTGGGGTGCCAGCAGAGCTGGTCCACACTGTCCCCATGGCCGCGGTAGTTGTTCTCCTTCACCTGGAGAGAGCACAGCCAACGACAGGGTGAGCCTGGTTCTGCCCCTCTGCTATCCCAGGCTGCTGCACCCTGTTACCGGATGGGGCGGGAGCCCAGCCCAGAGCCCCACCAGCGTCAGTCACTCTGCGTCCAAGGCCGGCCGGCCGGCACGGAGCAGCCCTCCCTAGCCCAACACCAGCCCTGGCATCAGCCTGCGGCGTCCTTGGCGACGCTCCCCTCCCCGTACAGACCCGAGCACCTGCTTCGACGCCTGGTACCAACCACCGGGGCCAACCCCCCACGCCAAAGCGGCGGGTGTCCGAGCAACCGGGACTGGAGAGGGGGATCCGTGCTACCGGCCCGAATCACCATTCCCAGCCCAACGGCTCCCGGGATGCCTCGGCACCGATCCAAGTGTCTGCTCCAGGTGCCCCCCCGGTGCCGTGAAGCTCACCAGCCGGTCCTTCTCGAGCAGGAAGACGCTGGCGGTCTTGTCGAAGGAGCCGGACGCGAGGCGGCGGCCGCAGCAGCTCCAGGCCACCGAATGCACCTTGGCACCGTGCGCCGGGAACTCGCGGCTCCGCGTGTTGGCGCGGAACAGCTCCTGCATGGCCTGTACGTAAGGCGACAGCGCCATGGCGCGACCGCCGCCGCCCCGCCCCGCGGCCGCCGCGACTGACGCACTTCCGCCGTCCCCCTATGCCCGGCCGGAGCGCTGCCGCCGCCGCCCGCCGCGAAGATGACCGACGGCGTCGTCCTCATAAGCGACCAGGACTCGGAGGGCAGCCGCTCTCCGCCGCTCCGGCGCCGCGCTCGCCGCCCATCGCGGCCCGCGCTGCCATCCCCCGCGGTGAGTCCGCGGCTGCCGGGGCGGTGCCTCCCGCTGCTTTCCCTCACAAAGATGGCGGCGCTTCCGCCACGGCCGGAGGCGCAGGCCGGGTACGGGAGCCGCGCGGGGACAGGAAGCCCCACGGGCCGCAAGCCTGGGCGGGCCCCCTCAGCGCCGTCCGTTACTGGACAGCCAGGCTGCATCCCTCAGGCGTCCTCAGCCTCCCCAGGAGAGATCGGGTCCCCTCGGCCGCCTCCCGCCAGCTCAGGCCTGGTCCCCAAGTGTATCCCCGCGGGGTCGCAGGCCCCTCGGCCGTGTGGCCTCAGGAGGACCCCGGTCCCCAGCCTTGGTCCCCGCAGCTCCACCTCAAGGAGGGGTCCAGGCCCCAGCCGTGGCAGCCACCACCCCCCTCAGCTGGGGCACCTACCCCACAGACTGCCCCATCCCTCAAGCAGGTAGGGGGGGTCTTTGTCTCTGGTTTCTCTTCCTGGGCTGCTGCCACTGAGACCCTCTCGCCCCTTGAGCTAGGGTGACAGTGCCACAGTGCAGAGGTCCTTGGCAGGGGAGGACCAAGGCACAATGACAGTGCTGTCTCCTCTGTCCCCACAGGAGATCATCGATCTGACCTGCGAGGACATGAGCACAGACCCGGCACCATGGACAAGCCTCACCATCATTGACCTGACAGAGGACACCTGCAGCCCTCCCCACAGCACCAGACAGACTGACCAGGACCCTGGGCAGGCACCTGCTTCCCCAGCAGCACACACGTTCCACCCCTGGCTCTTCTCCACCCTGAAGCAAGAAACAGAGGCAGGGTCGAGCCCTGCAGCGCCCGGTCCCAGCACTCCCATGGAGCCCAGTGCCACCACAGACACAGCAGAAAGCACAAACTGTGGCTGCATCTCTCCCACCCCCAGCTGCTGCAGCTCCTCCAGCAGCCCAGAGCAGAACTGCAGCACTACCACTTTTAACAGTGACTTGGGCTCCCTGGCCAGCTTGCAGCTGGACTCGGACCTGCTGTCCTTGTCCCCCTCCAGCCTGGACAGCAGCAGTAGCTGGAGAGCCAGTGGCCAAGAGGAAGAGGCTCCCCACCTCTGCCAGCAAAGGGAGCTTCCCCCAAGGCTGAGCCCTGTCCCAGCCATCTCCACAACCCCAGGGAAGGCCCAAGGGCCTTTGCTGGAAGCAAGTGATTTACAGCCACACAAAGCGATCCCACAAATTACCCCAGCCAGGACCAAGGCTGAAAACAAGGTCTGGCTGAACAAACTGCATTATTTCAGGAGGAGCGGCGTCCAGCACCTCTTCCTCCAAGGCGTAACACCCACCAGGGAAACACAGCAGGTAAATGATGTTCAGAGTAGCTGCTACCAAGCCCACACAGAGTCTGCTTAGAGCAGCCCTGGTGATAGAGGATGGAGCAGGGCAGCCCCAGTTCTGCTTCTCCTCTTGGGAGAAGCTTTGCCAGGCACCTGGGATCTCTGGTTGTTGCAGTTCCCTTCGTGGTTGGCCCCAGGTCACAGCTGGGTTCCCCTGTGTCAGGGGGAGCTGGCTTTCACCCATTGCCTTGCCTTGTACACAGCAGAAACCTGAGCTCATGCCCAGTGGGAAGCTGAGCATGGTTCACAACACCATGGAGGAGAACTTCGTGGAGGCCACCTTGCATTTCCTGAACGAGTTCATCTCCTACCAGCACTGTCCCCCAAAAGAAATCATCTCCTACTTGATCAGACAGATCCTGTTGAACAACCACAGAGAAGAGATCCTGAAGGACACCTACATGCTGCTGATGAAGATCCAAATGTACGTGTTCCCTTGGCCACAGTGCCCTTGGGCTGGATAGGTTATTCTCTGTGGTCCTCACACACAGAATAGGGAGTGATTTTTCTATAAGTCAGAATGATCTTGTTGCAAGCACAGGCACATCCCAGGCTGTCTGAGGGTGGGTCAGGGACAGCCTGTGACACCAGAGGACAGGAGTGTGTTTGCCTTGTTCCTGAAGTGCAGATCTCATTCTTCACTGATGTGACACGGCAGAAATGCCTTCCCTGAGCTGCAGCAGGGGCCGTGGCTGGAGCGGTTCCCTCCACTGTCCTCAGGGATCCCACACAGAAGCACAATGTTTTGTGAGGCCACAGGGCCATGAGTCCTGGGACTCCCCATGGAGTGCAGCCCCAGTCAGGTGCTTCCAGAAAGTGAAGGTGGTCCAGGGAAGAGGAAGGGAGAGGACAAAGCTGGAGAGAAGGCAGAGCAGGCCCCTGAGGAAGCAGGGCTGGGAAGGGCCAGGGGCTGCTGTGCCTCCTGGTAGGAGGTTGGGCAGTTCAGCCCAAATGGACACTGCTGTGTTTGCAGGCTCCATCCAGCCAACGCCACCACAGTGGGATGGGACTGGACGCTGCTGAAGTACATCATGGAGGACAAGGTACTTGGCACCACGTGTCACACTGAGCAGGGATCATCCAGCATAGAGTGCCTGAGGGTAAGTATTGCCCCAGGGCTTCACACAGCAATGCTCTGCTCCAGAATGGTTTGCAGCTGCTAAGGGCAGCAACTGCTAGTTGGGTATCCCACGTTTGTCTCATTTAGTGCTCCCCAGCCTGCTGCACAGCTCTCATCTGCAGAAGGCACAGCAACAGATAAAGCCTCTGGGTCACAGCCTTAGTGCAATTGTAGAACAGGTCCAGCAAGGCCCCTAGGGCATTTCCTGAGGCAGGCAGCCCCTCCTGGAGCTACTCCTCGTCCACATGCATCAGCCCATTCCCAAGACAGACAAATTCCCTGGTGCTTCTCACCCCACAGCTCTACCAGGCTCATACTTTCTCCATCTGCCCTCAGGAGAAGCCCCATGGCCAGCTCCTCTTCCTGCAGTACGTGGTGCAGACCCTGGAGGACGACTTCCAGCAGAACCTGAGGTTGCGCCTGCTGCAGAAGTCGATTGCCAAGAGAGTGCTTTCATGTGACATGTGCTTCAACAATGTCAAGTAAGGGACACCTCCTCCTCCCCATGCTCTAATCAGATGCTAAGAGGCAGAGCTCAGAGAAAACCTCTTGAGACTCCAGATCAGACTTTCCGGGAAGCACAGGGAGACAGGGAGTGTAGGGCCCAAACATAAAGAACAGGAGCAGGTTTACAAAAGCAAACCACCAGAGATGCTGCGAGGCATTTCCAGCTGCAATCTCACAGGCTTTTCCCAGGAATGGGCTCAGATTTGCATTGCTCAGGACAGAACTGAGATGGAGGCAGTCCTGTTGACAAGCACATAAATCCACCATTCAACAGAGCTACTCCCTAACCTGTCCAAGAGTATTCTTCATCCTTGGGGTCTTTCCTCAAGCTCCAAATGGATCTAGAGGTCGGAACACAACCAAACGGGGCCCATTCCCACTAAAGTTCCTGTTTCTGTTCCAGGGAGGTGGTTGAATGGTTGGTCGCAACAGTCACAGGAGTCTATTTGTCACAGCCCCAGGAACAACCACAAGAAACTACATCTTCAGCAGAAGCAAGGGCCGAACACAGCTCATCTACACCACGGTTGGCCAGCACTGACCAGGCAGAGGTGGTTCCACCAGCTTTCTTCACACAGAAGTAAGCCCCAAGGTCCTGACTCCCTGCTGGCATTACCATGGGGCCTAAGCCAGGGAGAAAACAGTCTCTCTCTGTCAGGGCAGGGAAGCCAAGCTGTACCTGGGACCAGTTTTGGTGGTTGTCCTTTGGGTAGACATAGACTGGGCAAGCAGTAACTTCCTCATGTGGTTAGTAACTAGCTCAATAAGCATCCTCCTCCTGCATGTACCATAAGGCTGGAGCTAGAAGCCATCCCCACTGCTTTACTTTGCAAGCCAAGGGGTAGCATCTCCTGGTGTTAACTGCTTCTTTGATCCAGGGTGACCCTCCTGCTCCAGCGGATGTTGTCCATCGCAGTGGAAGTGGACAAATCTCCCAACTGCAGCTCCTGTAAGATCGCAGATGTGATATTCCCATTTATACTGAATATTCCCCTGAGGAGCCAAAGGTGAGACAAACGTTCACACAGGCAGGTGCTGCCTTGCACAACAGGCTTATTCCTAATTTACATCCAAGTCTGGATGCATAAAGTACCACAGTATAAAGACGGGCTGATTTATGACCAAGCCAACTAAAGCATGTATCTCCCATGGACATACACTACCATCAGCTGTACACATCTACCCAGCTGGTGTGTTGCTGAGGAGTTGTTTCTCACTTGCTGAAGCTGCAGGACCTTAAAACTGTAAAGAGGGTCTGAAAAGCAGCACTTTGCATCAGCACAGCAAAGTACTGGCAGACACATTGCTGATTCCCAGAGGCAGCTGAGTAGCTCATCAGAAATAACAGTTCCTACAGCTTTGCCTTGGCATCCTTTTGATTGCTTCTCTAAGAAATGCAGTATCTGAAGCCAAAGCACAAGGGCCTGACAGGCTCTGTGTAGACATGAGACCACTAAACTCGCAGACATTTCAAATCCATGCCTGCAACCCCCAGCAAGCAGAACTCAGAGTGCACAACAGGTCTAATCAAGCCAAACTGACAACAAAGCTATCATTCCACCCAGGTCAGATGTCCTAGATCTGGCTGGCCACATCTCACTTGCTTGGCTGTGCTCCCTGCAAGTCAGCAGGAATGGGCAACTACTGCACAGGCTGCTGAGCAGGGTGAAATGAAGCGGCTAAGCTGCCTGACAGACCATGCCAACCTGCAGTGGCCACACGTCAGACCTAAGGACATAAACATAAGGCATAGCAAAGGTCTCTATCACATCTGATGCTTTTCCTTCCACTGCACTGCTGCACAGCCCCTCAAATCATCCCACATCTGCACTGGGTCAGCACCAGCGTGACACCATGCTGGAGCAGTTGTCCCTGGTCAGGCTGTTCCGCCTCCCCTAAAGTGAATCCCTTTTGTCTTCCAGGGAAGCTTTCCTAAATACCATGGGGAGCCAACTCCTGCGTTGCAAACTGCTAGAGCTGTTGTTCCAACATAGCTGTGATGTGCCTACAGCCTTGCCTTTGTCTCTGGCCAAGATCCTTTATTTCCTTAGCCATTCCTCTGTGCTGCTGCAATACCAGGTATTTAATCTGACCTCTCCTTTCCCTTTTGTCCTACAAAATCCTCTTCTAATAACCAAATACTGTCATCTGTCATAGGATGAAACAGCAACATGGCAAAAATGGGATGAGATGCTGGAGTACTTGAGTTTGCTGCTGCTGAGTTACCAAAACGTAATACTGGGTAAGCAGCCTGTTTTGATATTAACAAACATGATCTTATCGAGAGGCTGTAGTAGACCAACCAAAGTACCCTTTTCCTCCTCATTTCTTACCATTCTTGAATTCATGGTTACTGAGTATTAGAAAGATAATGTGCTTCCATTCCCCAGGACCCTAAACAGGTCAGGCAACCCATTGTGTTACCTCTCCCCACCAGCATTTCCTCTTGCAGAGCACTTGCGGAGCTCACTCACTGAGCGGATGGATTTGATCATTCAGAAGGCCAAGCCCAAGCTCCAGGACTGCGACGAGATTGGCCACCTGGACATCCATCTGAAGATAGAGGACTTCATCAGCCGAATGCAGAAGCTCCTGGGGGAGCCTTTTCCTCTGCAGATCATGGAGAAACTGAACATGCTTCGGCAGTTATTCCTCATTATCACTGCTACCTGATGGAGACGTTCAAACCCCATCAAAACCCCCATCTCGTGCTGCAGTGTTAAGTGTTGTACATCAGGAGTTTGGTTGTACATTTCTTTGGGAAAAAACAGATGTCTGGTTTACATGGTCTCAGTTCCCTTGCAAATTTGCCTCATTCAACAGTTTTACCAAGCACTCTGTACACTTTAAAAAATAAATTATTTTTGTTATGTGCTGAGACTTCTCTCTTGGTGCCAGCCCTGCTCAAAGGAAGCACGGACTTCTGTCAGCTGTACCTTGGGATAGCATTAGACTAACAGGCACAACTGACAACAGCTTGCACAGCAAGCAAAATGCCAAAATACCACTCAATATTTAGGAAAATATGGTATTTTAGAAAATACCAAGCGTGGGGTGCAGTGAGGGCATTCCCAGGGCAGGGATCCCCAAGTGACAATGGTCAGACATTAGTAAAGGAACATTTCTGCTCCAAATCAACCTACATGACTCTGCCCAAGGGGATCAGCAATGCCAACAGGGAGGACTGGATAGCAGCATCAACTGAAAAAGACTTGGACTCTTCCAGAACACGGGCAAGCATGCGTGTGATGAAGATGAATACTGAATTCAAATCCATTGCCATAAACTCAAATCACAGCTGAAGTCAGAGAGCAATTAGGCATTTCTATAGGCATTCAAAGGCCATTCAGAGGCTGGGAGTGGAACTCTGGTAGAGCTGCTGGACCTCCATTCACAAGGATTTTATTTTTCTTGTAACAAAAAAGAAAAATCATACACATTAGAGACATGAATACAGACAACAAATAAATTAATTGTCAAATGAGACTGATTGCCAAGGTGCAAATGAGTGGTGACAGTGACAACTGCTTGGCTGGGTGGGAGACCTGGAACACAATGCATCATCAGTAGTGCTGCTGAAGCTTGAGAGGAACCAGAGCCACAAAACGTGCTGCTTCAGAGCAGACAGCAGTCAAGTGAGCCATCCCTGCCTCACCCTCCAGGAGGAATGTTTGGTTTAAGGAGGCAGAATCCACAGGACTCAACAGTTACCAGCTATTAAGTAACCTCTGTAAAATGTCCAGGATCTTCCAGTACCAGATGCAAGGCTGCTGCTGCCACCTCACCACTACAGAAAGCCTGCTGCTGGCTGAGGCAGCTCTGCAACATAATCATGAGATCAAAAGGAGACCCATTTGCCACAGGACAGGTGAGGATTAGACCAACACTACCTCTAATGCTTAAGGAATTAGATGGTAGCCGGGAGTTCCTGCCACTTCTCAGGAAAGCAAGCACTGGCTGTTCCCAGTAACTGGTGCTGACTAGACCAAGTACCACAGCAGGGAGGAATGTTTAGCCTTGATCTGCTCCCCTAGCCCTGCAAAATGCATTTAATGCTGATGAAGCAAAAAACCTAACTGAGAAGTGTCCCAGACCTACACAATTCAGACAAGAAGCTGGGGGGGTGAGGGGGAAACACAGCAAATAAATCAAGCAGCAGCCAGATTGCCAGAACATCTGCAGGTCTGTTGTCTAGGGCAGGACAGTGTTGTTTCACAGAAAGAGGAAGATTACTCAGTTCAAGCCAAACCAGCTCTGGTCACTTCCACCTTTTTGGAAGAACACAAAGAGTTGGAAGAGAAGCAATTCTTCCTCGTTATTGCCAAGCCCCATTAGATTCTGCTCCCTGTCTTTCTAGTAATTGCATCTTAGAATGGTCACTGTTCCTCTTTTCCTTAAAAAGAAACAAACAAAACAAAACAAACAAAAAAACCCCAACAGCAATTGAAGGACAAGGAATTACGAGGTGTCGAACTGTAAGGTCACATTGGATAGTAAAGGGAGCACCACATCTACAACTGACCCTCCACATTCCCACAGCAACTTCTTCCTCCTGGTAGTTAATGGTCCAATTATTAGTCTTTGATTGTTTCCATCATTTTCTGCTGGTGTTCTGCACATGCCACACAGAACCACAGTCCTCCTGAGGGTACTTCAGCACTGAGCAGGACAAGACAATCAGACTACACATAGCCAAGCCAGCTTGCTTGCACACCACACGCAGGACTGGCCCACAACACATGATTCCAGGTTCTAATGCAGTGTAGTGTACCAGGAAGCACAGCTAGTGCAGCCTAGCAGACCAAACTGGTGCAGCACAGCAGACAGGATGGTTTACATTGGTTTTGTACTAGTGCAGGGGTTTTTCCAAGACTGGCTTTAGAAGGACATTCACAACTGTGCCCTCTTCTGAGATGAAGAGCTGGAAGGGAGGTTTTCCTATTTTACTGCACAATGGGACAAGGAAGCAGAGCCTAAGACACCCTGTAGGATGCTAAAGACACCAGAAGCATTCTTCCTAGAACCCAGAGGGAGCCAGCACATTCAGATCCCGAGGTTTGACATTATGGGACCGTGGAGATTGTTTCCTCCCTTCTGTGACTGAAGTGTCCATTTTGGGTGGCTTGAAGGTGACTGGATCCTCTGACATCCTAGTAGCCTGAGCACGCATCAGCTCCATTGGGGATGGCTTCTGGGCACCCTTATAGGACTGGATGGTAAATCCTCCTGATAAAGAAAATAAACCACAGCAAATAAGAGCTAGGAAAACCAGCCAAGTCCTTTTTATCACTACTTCCAGGAGTGAACAGTGTCACTGATGCTCAGCACTGCAGAAAGCCTATGCAAGACCCAGCAGCTTCAGGTCATCTAAAGTTTATCCCACATCAGTGGCTGACACTGCCAGTTCTGGTTCCACCAGATAGAATAAAAAGCTGCCACCCTGCCCTTCCACTGCAGCTCAGTGCAAGTTATTTCTGCTTTCAGGTAAAACCTATACCAAGGATCTAACTGCCTTATATGTAAGCACAGAAATGACATGAATATCACATTCACAAAGTGGTCCTAGAAAGTAGCAAGACAAGAGGGATAAGGCTCCAGAAACAGAGAGCATGTTTGTTGTGTGACAGCCCTCCCCCAGTTCTTGCAACACGGGAGATTTTAGAGGACATACCTGGATCATTGGTGGATTTCTGGATGGTTTTGGGTCCAAAAAAGCTCCATCTTTCAGATGGCAATTTGTCCCCACCAGTTTCCATGGTAAAGTCTAGACCAGTTAGAGAAGTAGAGGATCCCTGACTAAACCAACTCCTAGGGAAGAATTATTGATATGTATAAAACACAAGAATACTTCAAGTTGCCCCACTGTACCAGCAATTTTACAGGCAGTTATCAAGTTGCAATTTAAACTATCTTAATAGCATTGTTACCACCCCAGGCCGAAGATACACATGTGCAAGTTCAGCGAGATCTATCCAACACAATTCCACAGCAGGCTCCGAATTTCCCCTTTAGTCCCTCACTGGACAAGGGTTTTTTTTGTAGGAGCTCCCACCTCAGCAGCCTGCAGGAAACCAAAGGAGGCAGTGGTCTGCCAGGAAGAGAGTACCTGTTTTTATGCCTGGGAGAAGACTGGGGAGTACTGCTTGGAGTAGACTGAGCAGAAGAACTCTGCTTGTCATCTTTTGTCATCTCTCCATTCTGCATTTTTAGCTTCTGTTCAGAGAAATGCAGAAGGAACAGAGTTTAAATACAACACCTAAGGAACAGCCAATTTTCTTGTCAAACTGAGCAGCAGTGTGTATCACATGTGATTAAGGATTTGTCACTTCACCCAAAGCCACACCCAGTACTTGCAAACGCCCCTTAAGCTTCTTTCCACACAAGATCTAAGTATTTTGGAAGTCCACTATACTCAAAACACATCCTCCAGGCTAGAGGAAGTAGACAACACCTACAGCTCACTCCACTTCAGAGGCAACAACAGTAATGTGCTGCTTCAATACCAGCACTAAGAGGGAAGCTGCAGACGTAGCAGACCTGACTTCATCCCATCAGCTCAGCTCCCTGGTAGCAAGTCAAAATACCACAGCAATCATCTGTCTCCTGGAGTTTTCAGAGCAACAAAGCTTTCAGTCCCACAGGTTCTCTAATGAAGGCGAGATCAGACCTTGTACAGAACATAGGAAGTGTAGGAGCATTAAACCCTAAGAAGTAAACCCCACACAAGAGGATGGAAACACTGCTCTAGAACACTGCAATTAACTGCATTTGAAGAGTACAGTCAAAATAAACAGGAACTAGGTGTACGCAAACCAGGTTATTGCAAGTCCTACAGTACAAACTGAACTTTGAAGTAGTCACTTGAAGGGCAGTTATAGTTCACCAACCACAAGGGCACCTTCTCAGGATGTTTCCTGTGCCTATCCAAGCCACACTAATGCAGTTCAACACTGTTACTGAAACTTTGACCTTGTGGGAGTACACTCGAACATTAAACTATTAAACTCAAACAATTCACTATTAAACTCCACCTGGAAGATTACTGTGGGTAACTGAGCTCATCAGAAACATGTTGATTCAAGCCCTTTGTCTTTATCTGCAGTCAGAGACAAGCCCCATTTCATTTGCCGACTTCCACCTCAGAAACACAGGGTTTACAAGTTCTCTTGGGACAAACAGTTTAACAGACAACTGTAGGGCACCAAAGGCACAGCAAGAAACTAGATTCTCTGTAAGCATGTCCCCACTTGAAAGATGACTGTGATAGTCTGACATATTTGTGGAATACCTCAAAGTTTCAAAGCTATAAAGGCTAATACTAACTTTAAAATAAAAGTGGGTAACGTTTTCTACACAATCAGCTAAAAGCCTTCAGAGGAAGCAGTTTAAGGAGAGCAACATACTCCAACAGTCCCACCACCAAGCATGTGTTAAGGTAGTACACAACCCACACAGAAAAAGCCAATGCAAAACAAGCCTTACATGGACTGCCTCAGCCACTCGATGATACTTGGTCTCCTCAGTCGTGAGGCCTTTGTGAGGGGTGTAGCCAGCTTCCCTCAGCCCTGCCTGCTGCTCAAAGCGCTGGATGCTCTCCTGGGTCTGCTCTAGAACACACAAAAGCACATGTTCAAACATGAACGCCACAACAAACAGTTCTAACAAAGGCAACTTCAGCTACCAAACGCAAGACTTTTTTTCATCATTTGTACCTACACATTGTGATGAGTTGATAGAGGCAGCAAGATGAAACTCGTGAGATTCTGACTTGAAAACTATCCTGGTTTTCTATATCCTAGTTATCCTAGAGTCATAAGGCTAAGTCAGATGAACAGTGATTTGTCCCAGATCACCAGCTGTATTACAAATGCAGCATCTACAGTCATATCTATCTTGCCCAAGAAGCTGCATCACTCCCAGTCACAAATTCCTAAATCTAGGAGGCCCCAGTAACCTGGTCATTTGAAGTGTCCCTTTAGATTTAAGGGAGATTTTTTGGACAAAAAGGATGAAGTCTTCTGAAAGTCTGCCCACATGATCTAACTGACAATCACAACCTTGCAGAACAGCTGGGAAGGATTCCCAGGGGTTCTAGATTAGCTAAAATAAGCTATTTCAGCCAAATACAGAGCCAGCATCCAATACAGTGACATCAACTAACAAAAAAGTCAAAAGGAATTCAAGCACAAAGATTACTGGAGAAGCCCAGTGTCTCCTTTAAAACAGGCAACACTTCCCATGTTATTGTTAGTTATTTGCAGGAACAGTGCACTGCATATGAGAAATCAAGAGGACTTTATTTCCAATTTGTAATTGAAGTGAGCACCTAGAAGGTGTAGGCCAGGGCTTCTGACTTATCACTACAAAAGAACATTTTTAGTCCATTATTGTTTTAGCCAGATTAGCATTTTAGCAATAGACTAGAACAGAAGCTGCTTTCCAGGAGGAAGTCTATATTCCTGGGTGTTCCTTTTCTGATCTGTGGGTTATTTTTGAGCCAAGACTTAAAGAAGTGCAGATGTACAGCTATTCCAAAATGCTGGTCTGAAAAGCCTAGAAGTCCTTGGAAGCATTGCTTGGAAGAAAAGATGAAGCTGAGATCCCAGCTGCTAGAAGAAGAGGAATTAGTGACAGATTAACTCTTGAGTAATTCCTCTTGTTGCAAACTGACCCAATTTCATTTTAAAGTATCGTTATTTATGAGTTTGGGGGCTTTTTAAAGCAAGACAGCAGGTGCTGCTGTTAACTATCAGAAATGCCAGCAAGTGCCTCATTAGCACAGCATGTCAGCTCTCCACACCACTTTGGTTAATTTTAAAGCTCTACCTGTCATCCAAAAATAGCAAGTTAATAAGCAAACAGCAAGTAGCAGCAGCAGCCACCTCAGCAACAAGATGGCATAGACTGCAGTGTCCTATCAGCAGATAACATACCCTGCACCCCTCCCTTATCACCCACCTCCACCACCTGGAAACAGAGGCAGTAAAAGTGTGGCTTACTCCCTAGCTACTTCTAGAAACACCCTCCAAAACACCTCAATTCAGCTCAAACACAGAGTCAGTTTGAACCCATCAGCTGTCCAGGAACTCTGGTAGTTACCTGGAGGCATTATCAAGCCAGGGCATGCTCAAGTGCTCACAGCCCATTAGCCACCACATTAGAGGTGAGAGTTCTTACTTGTAATGAGAGAGTTCATGATGATGTGAGTGGCCTTGGCCTTCACCACAGGTACCTTGTTCACACTTTCAGTAGACGATGATGGAGTTATGACAGATGCATTCATGTTAGCATCCCCCTCCTCGATCTATGGGGAAGCAGCAGGGTACAGTTTAAGATGAGAAAGTATCTCAGCACCTTTCCAGGACACATCTCTAACTACTGAAACGAAACACAAGGCCAAGCTGCTCTAGCAGCTAGCCTTCATCCCTTGGAATAAACCCATACACTATTCTCACTATAGCTGGGAAATGTTTAGAGCTTGAACCTTACAATTCTTAGCAATGAACAAGAACTTGCATCCAGTATTTGGAAACATGCAGGGCTTGGAGCCAAAACGTTGTTAGTCTAAGCACAAAAGGTCAACAGGAAAGAAACCAGAACACATCTACTTCCATTCCCATAACTGCAAATTGGACTTCAAGGTCAATTGGGCAGGAGCACCCTTCCAGAGACAGCTCAGAAACAAGCTATTTACAGAACAGCAGGCACACAGATTAGAGTCTGGTGTTGAGACCTTGCTTTCCACCTCACTCCTTGTATCAGTTCCCTGTTCAGTGTATCCAGCAGTCATAGCTCTACCACTGACCACAAGACCCAGGCAACAAAGACCAGACACATGCTACAAGAAATCCTGTGAAACACTGAAATCCTCCTCTTAGCAGAGGAGTCACCAGTCCCTAACTGGACAATTTGCTCTTTGTGCCAAACCACAACTTCAAGTTTCCTTCCATGAAATTTTGTTTTTCAAATGAGGTGAAAATCCGAGGTTAAGCTCTAAGGGATACAAAGTTATTCGCTTCCATTCAACCACAGTCAGTACCACTTCAAACTGGGAAAACTGCCTCTACATTTAAAAGAGCTGGTCCTGTACTCAAAGCCCTCCCACAGTCATTTGGTACAGCAGTTTGGGCTGGAAGGCACCTTCAACGACTGTCTGGTTCAGGCCTCACTGCAGGGTGGGACATCTTCCACTAGAGCAGGTTGCTCAAAGCAAAGCCCCACCTTACTTTTAACACTTCCAGGGATGGGGCATCCACAACTTCTCTGGACAGCCTGTCCAGTGCCTCACTCCCCTCTGCATGAGGAATTTACAGCCAGCCCAGATCTACCCCCTTCACCCTGCTTTCAGCTCACAGCTTTAAACCTACAAACACCTCCCGTAGCGAAGGGACTCCCCAGACAGGCCCATCCCAACCGTACCGCAATAGAGACAGGCCGCAAAGCCGAGCTCCCGTCCCCAGCGCCTCCGGGGCTCTGCGGCGGAGGGAAGGGGCAGCTCCCCTGGGGCGGTGCCGCGCCACCGGCACCGGGAGGGCTGCCAAGGCCACCACAGCAACCGCCCGTCCTGTACCTTCGAGAGCTCCTCGTATTTGCGCTCGGGGATGACCGGCTGCTTCCACAGGACACTGGCGCACAGGTCGGCGGGCGGCGGAGTCATGGGCGCCGTGTCCTCCAAGCCCTCGTCGTAGCTGAAGGCCCGCCGCGGCACGCCGACAGGCAGCGACATCTTGCCCGGGCGGGGGCCGCCGCCCTGCTCCAGCGCTGCGGACAGAGAGGGCAGCGCTCAGCGCCGCCGCGGACTGCACGGGCCGGCGGGGAGCGCTGAGGGGGAGGCTTACCGGGAGCGTCCGGCTGCCGCGCACTCATGACAGCGGCTCGGCTTAGGCTAGCGAGGGTCGGAGGGGTGAGGCGGGGCAGGGACCGGCGGCGCCATGGCGGGGCCGGCGGGGAAAGCACCGGTAGGACACCAGCGCTACACCGGTACCACAGCGGCACCGGAGCGGAGGGACCGCCCCCGCGGGAAAGGGCTGAGAGAAGCACGGATCTCGCGAGGTCTGAAGCGCGGAGCACGCTGGGAGATGTAGTTCGGGATGAGCGGGGCAGGGCGGGGCTGTGCTGACGGGGCGGGGTCGAGGATTCCGCACAGCCGGACCCTGCCCGACCCTTGCCCGGTTCCCGCCCGCCGCGGCCAGCCCTCGGCCCCTGCGCGGTCCCTGTCCGACCACACTCCGGCTCTGCTAATGAAGCATCTCGCCCTGCCGCCGGGCTGCTCAGCCAACCCTCAGCTGGGCTGAGGGCCATGGGAGCCGCTCACGGAGGCTCCAGGGAGGGCCAGCAGCCGTGGGGCCTGGCCTGGCCTGGGGGTGCGTTGCGCTACCGGGGTGAATTGAGGACAGGCGAGTCCAGTGAGCAGCGGGTGCATGGCACCGGGCAGATGTGAGGCCCAGGGGTAGTTCATGTCAGAGGCCTGACCCCCGTGCCTATTGTCCCTTCTCCCTGACATCCCTCCCTCCATCCCCACCACACATCCATCCATCCATCCATCCATCCACCCCTCCATACATCCATCCATCCATCCCTCCATCCCTCCATCACTCCCTCCATCACTCCCTCCATCCATCCATCCGTCCACCCATCCATTCACCCATGCACCCATTCATTCATCCATTCATCCATCTGTCCATCCATCCATCCATCCACCCATTCATCCATCCGTCCATCCACCCATTCATCCATCTGTTCATCCACCCACCAACCCATCCAGCCATTCATTCATCCATCCATTCATCCATCCATCCATCCATCCATCCACCCACCCACCCATCCATCCATCCATCCACGCACCTCCCTGAGGTCGGAGCGGCCCCTTTAAGCGCGGCGGTGACGTCAGAGGTGGGCACATCTGGCGCGCTGCCCGCGGGCACATCTGTCTGGGGTTACACCGCCGCGGCCGTGTGCTGCTGGTGCCTCATGACTCTGTCCGGCGCCCTCCGGGCCCTGTCGCTGACCGTCGGAGCCGCCGTGTTCGCCCTCTGTTCCCTCCTCTACATCGCTTGGAAGATCTACTGCGACACCAACAGCGACACCGACTGGGACGGATGGTGGGAGCAGGACCTATGGGAGCAAGCCCCCTCCAAGGACGCCGTAAGGAGGGGACGGACCCCCGCCGGCACCCCCTGCCCATCGCGGGCTGGAAGGGCTCAGGGTCGGGATCTCCCGGGCATCCCCTACACCAGGATCCCCTCACCGGGATCCCTCCTGGTTCCTCACTTCTCCCCCGGGACCGTGAAGCTGGGGAAGTGGCAGGGTCGGGGCTACCCCTGTGCTCCCCAGGCTGGGGAAGGTTCTGGATTGCCAGCAGAATCCACAGAGGGCTTGGGAAGGGTGCGCAGGGCCAGGGTCCCCTCTGTGATCTTGCACTGACATCCCCTGAAGCAGGTCAGACTGGATTCCCCAGGGTATTCTTGGGGTACAGCCCGTGGGGTACACTCCTGCAGCCCGTCCTGCCAGGGGAGGGATCCCCAGTTTGAACAGCCAGTGGAGCCCACGAGCATGGAGGGGAGTGTGAGGGGCTGGCAGGATCCCTTTGCTCTGGGCTCATCGCTCAACCATCCCATAACCATGCGACTGCGGGTACTGGGACCTGCTCCCACCCACCCAACACCCTCCTGTACCCCCTCAGCTGGACTGGCAGCAAGTGCTGGTGCTGGGGCTGGACGGAGCGGGGAAGAGCAGCGTCCTGCACTACATCTGCAACCAGACAGCCAGGAAGCGCTTCACACCCACCCAGGGCTTCAACTGCACCCAGCTTTCTATTGAGGGGCTGGAGATGGAGCTGCTGGAGGGTAAGGCTGGCCTGGCCCTGCATGGCCTGGAGCATTCCCCCCACCTGGAGCATCCCCCTCTACCGACACCAGCCTGGGGGTAAAGAGGTGATGGGAGGCCTGTCTGATCCCCACACTGGTGCCTGATCCTCTCCATCTTCCGCAGTGGGTGGCAGCCAGAACCTGCGAGCCTACTGGCCCCACTACGTGAGCCATGCCCACGTGTTGGTGTTCGTGGTGGACTCGGTGGACAGGTCACGCCTGGTGACGGCGCGCCAGGAGCTGCACACGCTGCTGGCCATAGAGCCCCAGCTGCCCCTGGTGGTGCTGGCCAATAAGCAGGTTGGTATCCATCTGTCTGGCTATCCCCACAGATGCCTTTGGGCATGTTTCCAGTGAAATCCCTCCCCAGGGCCCTAAAGGGAAATCCTGATGCCCCAAATCCACCAACTCTTGCAAAATCCAATCTTGGGACAATCTCCTCCAGTTTTCATTGGGAGGCACGGCTGCTCTTGCCAGTGCCTGGCTAATGAGTTTCAGAACACCCAGGCAGCACATGCCAAATCCCGGATGGGAAATACATTTCAAGGCAGTTGACCAAGCGCATGCCTCGTGCTGCTCCCCATTAGCTTGTGCCAAAGCGACTCCAATGCAAGAAACAGCCCTGCCTGCATGCAATTCCTGCCAGGACCAGGCTGCTGCCCTTCCTGAGCAGCCTCTTCTTTCCTCACAGGACAAGAGTGATGCCCTGAGCGCGGCAGAGCTGTGGGAGGAGCTGGCCCTGCACACCCTCAGCGAGCAGCGGGAGGTCTTCCTGCTGCCCACCAGTGCAACGTGGGACAGCCTGAACACTGCCAACAGCATCCTCCACGTGAAGAGCCTTCTGGTGACACTGCTCTCCCAGACCCTGAGCACTCTGCCGCAGGGGGAGGGCAGCCAACCCCCCCCAGTTCAAGGATGAAATCACCCTTGGGATGGAATCACAAGCTCCTGGTGAGCAGGAGCATGCAGCACAGGGCAGCGCCCCACACCTTCACAGTAGCCCTGCAGGATATTAAATGAATGGGGCTGGAGAGGGAGTCCTGCCAGTGCTGAGCACAGCTTTCAATTCCCCCAACTCTGTACTTAAAGCCCTGTTGAGGAGAGATGAAGGCAGGTATTGGGCAGCCCTTCACCCTGAACAGGGGCAAAGATGGGCTGTTTGGTAGGTGCTGCTCCCAGCAGGCATTTGCTCCCCTGCCTGATCTCCCTCCAGCTCAGCTTCACCAGGTAACAGGGAATGAAGGCAGGAGGCTGCTGGGTCAGGCCACAGGGTGCTGGGTCCTGGAAACCGCATCATGGGAGCTGGGGAGCACCCTGGGAGAAGGGAATACACTCAGCTGATCTCTGCTGTTAAACCTTTTGTACTGTCACTCCTTCCTTTTGTCAATAAAAGAGGTTGACAACTCCGCACTGCCCTCCAGCTCCTTGGCAGAGAAGGGCTCTCCCAGCCTGCAGGCAGGAAGGTCACTCACAGGGGAAGGAGCACATGAGCCTGCTGCAACTTCTGCCGCCTACAGGGAAATCAGCAGAGGTTCTAGTGCTACCTGCACCCGTTACTGCAGAGGGTGCCATGCGCCCAATGCCCATGTCCCACCATGGCACTGGGAGCTCTCAAAGCAGGACTGTGCCAAGCAGGAGCCCACGAGTAAGACACTCACACCACCTTGGAAAAGCAAGTTATTTTAACAAGGCAACAGGAGCACAGCACACTAAGTCCCATTGCCACAAGCCACAGACAAGAAACTTTCATGCCTGGTTACAACTATCTCTGTCTAATGAAGGTCCTTCCTCCATCACCAGAGGCTTTGCATAGCTCAGCTTGCAGGCACTGGGGCTGTGACTGTCACCTGTCTGTCTGTCTGTGCTAAGCACAGAAAACAGTTGTGTCAAGCCTGCACTTGCAGGCAAACCTGAGGGAAAAGGGCAGTCACTGCACCTCCATCTTCTCCTGCTTGAGGGATGCAACAAATTCCTTGTACTCCTCAGGATAGAAATTCTTGTACACGTTGATCTTTCTCTTGATCTGCTTTGGAGTATCCTGGTAGTAATTCTTCTCGTCTCGAGCCATTTCCTGAGACAAAGGAAAGCATAAATCAGAGGGATGTCCAGAGCAGCAAACACCAAACCAGCCCAGCACCACACCAAAGACCCACCCAGACCAGCTGTGATTACTGCCTGACTCAGACAGGGATCTGGCCACGGATCCCCTTAACACAGGAGCCAGGACAGAGAGGATTATTGGTTACCATTCTGCAGAAGATCCAGGCTCAAGCTGCTCTGGGTGCTGTTCGCTCTGGGACAACCAGTACTGACCTTGTAGTTCTCCCCGTGGTTCTGTATCATGTACCGCACGTAGTCAATGAGATCTCGTGAGAGTGTGTTCGACTTCTTCTCAGGCAGACTGGCCTCATATTCCATCTCTAGGCAGAGAACAGAGACACCATGAAGCAGGGGAGGCAAGCAAGCAACACCTCAGAAGTCCCCAGCCTCTTCCCAAGATCAAGCCCTGCTGCAGAAAGGAGGTGGCTTCCCAGCACCATCATAGAGGAAAACAATCAACAGTCCTCAGCACAATGTGCAGGCAGCCTGCTTGCAGCACGAGTGGAACATTTCTGCCCAGGCTGCAGAGTGTGACTGTTCAGCGCTGCCCAGTCCACCACTGAAAATGCAGGATACTGCAGCCTCAATTTGTCACCCTGGTGTCACAAATCAGCCCGTTTCAGGGTCACAAGAGCCCTCTTGGGTCTGCAGGTAGAAATACTGCAAAGAGGGCAGCACAGGAGGGAGAAGGAAATTCCTGAGCCAAAGGACACACGGGAATGGCAGAGCTGCTGTCCTGGCTCCCACTCAGCTCCAGCCTGGCTGGGAATCTCCAGCCAACTGTTGCCACAGGGGTTACTCCTCTACAAGCCAGGAGGAGAAGTAACACCCTTAGGGCATAGCACACAGATGAGAGATAAAATAACCCAGAGGGCCTTGGGAGAACCCCAAAGGCAACAGCAGCAGTTGCCTTTGGGGCTCAGCAGGAAACCACCAGGGCTGGAGGTGGTCCCTGAGGCAGGCAGCAGCAGCACTGACCGTTCAGCACGTAGGGCTTCCGCACTAGTTGTTTTCCTTGGTCTTGTCCATTACTTTCCATTTCCATCCCCTGTTTTGAATGAGAGAAAAAGCAACTCAAGAAAAGCCTATCTGGGAGAGAGCTGTGTCCTTATACATTGTTCCCCAAACTCCAAACTGCTTACCAATGGCTGCAAGGACAGAAAAATCTCAGCTGGCGTAAGAAAAGCTGTTATTTGCGCCATAAAGCTAGCTCGAGGGCAACCCTGTCACAGTGTGGACACAGACAAGTGGCAAACAAGGTCACTTCTGTTTATTTTTCATGAGTGTGACATTTTGTGGGGCCACCTTTTGCCCGGAAGTGTTGCCCATTGGTGCAGGTGGGCCAGCCTGGTGCTACTGTACATATGAAAGCTTTCTTTGCTATCAGGAGCAACTCGGCTGCTGTGTTCCCACCCCCACCTCTCCCTGGCAAGTCTCAGGAGATTAACTGGCATCGTTTCTAGTGAAGCCCATGATTTATTTTTAAGTCCATTATTTCTCTGTGACACTGGAGCTTGCTCCCACGCCTGGATCTTGGTAAGGAAACAATACCCATGGATAAGAAACCCATCCACTTACAGAGACCTACCCAGAGCCACCTGACCGGTACCCAGGGCAGGCTGCTCTTCCCCCGCCCGGCTGCGTGTCCTGGGGGAGGCATCACCTTTCATCCCCCCCAGAGGAGACGCCGCAGCCGATCCCCCCAGCCCATACACTCACCAGCAGCTTCTTGGGGATGGGGACGGCCTTGTTAGGATCGCCGGCCAGGCCCATCTCGGCCAGGTTCTGTGCCACCGACTTGGTAGGGTCCCATGCCTGGCGGATGTGCGAGCTGCGCGGGGACAGGCACCGGCGTCACGGCTGCGCTCCGCTCCCCACACACAAGCATCCCCCAGACACCCACCGAGACCTTGCAGCAACTCCGCCGGGACACCCGCACCCGGCCGCCCTGCCCACAGCCCTCACCCGGGCCCGCGCCCCCCGTGCGCGCCCATGTCGCGAACCTCACCATGCGATGCGCGGGGCGGCGCGGCGGCGGGCGCTGCGGTACAGCCGCTTGCGGTTGAGGTTATAGGAGTACTTGTGCCGCCGGCTCTTCCCCTTCGCCTTCGGCATGGCTGCTCCACGCTACTGCCAGCGCCGCGCCGCGATGGGCCGCGGGGCACTACGGGAAGTGTAGTTCGGAGCCTGCGGAGCCGCCCGTACGGCTGTGTCAGCTTCGGACTACAACCCCCATCATGCCCTGCGACCGGAGTGCGCGCTCTAGCGCTTCCCGGCTACAGCGGCCGGGAAGGGTCGCTGTGGTCACCTTCCTGCGGCCGCAGCCATGGCGGCTGAACCTCCGCCGCCGCTGGAGCCCATCGTGGTGCCGGTGTTCAGGGAGGAGGGCTTCGGCGACAAGTTCCTGCGCAAGACCCGCGAGAACCCCCTGGTGCCCCTCGGTAAGGGGAGGGCGGGGGGTGGCGGTTTGGGGCTGAGGGAAGGGGAAGGGTCGGCTGACAGTGGGGCTGCTCTGGGGGTACTTCACAAGCCGGCAGCGCTCAGGTGCGGGGGACATGAGCTGCTCCTCAGAGCCCCTGCCCCTCAAGCATCCCTCCATCCTTCCCCTCCGCAGGCTGCCTCTGCACCGTCGGCTTCCTGACCTACGGGCTGATCAACTTCAAGAGGGGCAACACCCGCAAGTCTCAGCTGATGATGCGGGGGCGTATCCTGGCCCAGGGCCTAACCTTCGTTGCCCTCCTCGGGGGCATAGCAGTCACAGCCATGAAGTCTAGAAAGTGAAGTCAGGCGAGAGGGGAGCTGCGGGTGTGCCCAGCTGGATTCATACTGCAGATGGTTTCTGAGAGACAGTAGTGATGTCCCGGTGGAGCCGGCGCCGGAGAGGCTTTGTGTTCCAGAGCCCTGGAAACTGGTTAATACAACTCTGTGGATGACCTGATATTGGGCCTGTGGCGTTATTTGATCCTCTGAGGGCTTGTCCTCCTGCTGCACTGGAGGCTGTGTTTCACTGGGGCTCTCCGGCCCTGTCAGAGCTCTCATCCCTGCTTGGTGCTGTCACATTCTGTTAGAATTGTGTCCTGGGGTCAAGTTGTGTCTTTATTCAGGCGGTGACCAGCATTTGAGAAATGAGCTGCCCAAGCAGAAGCTCTGTTTGTGGCCTGGTCCTGCAGGACAGAGTTCATAAGCAGCAGGTGAGTTGTCTGGAGAGAATATGTAATCTGTTGGGTAGCAACCAGTGAGTAGTAAAGTGAATTGCAGCGAGATTCTGACGGATACTGGATGGCAGAGCATTGAGAGGCCAGAGAGTAAACAGTGTAGGAAGGAGAGGGAGCAGGCAGAGCTGCCTCACAGCTGCAGTGATCCGAGCAGGACACAAGATACAACTCCCAGTGAGAGCAAGTTGGGAACTCATATTTCCCAAATGCTGCATTCCCAGGGTCCTGCTGCTGCTTTTGCTAGGGAGTCAGTTCCTGCATGGCTCAGTGCTTCACATGAGCTGGAAGCTGAGCTAGAGGGAACTGCACTCCCTGCATCGTGACAGACATCGTTTGGATCATACCAGGGGGGTTTAGTGAGGAACAAGATTGCTCTCCCATGTCACAGCTGCAGGGCTGGGAGGACATGGTGCTGTTGGTTCTGTTTGCTCCATGGCTGCAGCAGCTCATACCTGCTGGGAAAGGGGCACAAACACCACTAATGTGCTGTGGTGCCTCCCATATTGAGCTGCCTGGGGCATTTCCAGGCACTGAGTGTGTGTGTGTTGGTGCCTGTGCCCTGGCTCTCCCTATCCTGTGGTGCCTTTGCAGCTTGTGGAGCCCACTGTGCCTTCATGAGCTTCTCTGGAAGAGAACCCCACCTCTGGTGAGGGGGAACCAGCTTCTGCTTGCAAACAAGCAGGGATAGAGGGGAAGGCTCTTGCTCACCAGAGCCAACTTATGAGGTGTGAGGGCAGGCAAATGAACTATTGCCAGCATTGAGCAGGGTGAGCTCCACCAGGGAGCCCTGCACTTTGCCTGCTTAGCATGTCTTCCCCAGAAGCTGTGTCTGGCTGGCTCACTGGTACTTCAGCCCAGCCAGCTTGGGGCAGGGCTGTGGAAGGCAGTGGGTGGGCAAATCTGCAAGCACAATCCCTTAGCAACCTGGATAGGGTTGGCTGCCACTGCTTCTGCCCCAGCCTAGCACAAACCATTTGGTCCTTCCCCTTGCTCCTGTTTCTCCCTCTAGGATGTGGTTTCCCCCCCACCCTGTCCTTCCCACAGGAGGCTTCTGTGGGGCTTTGTGTTCTCCCAAGCACACACGTGTTGCTGAAGCAGAAAGATGACAGTGCCCTGTAGGACTGGAGATGTGGGTTTATTGTAACAGGTAATTCGAACAGTCACAGATACCAAAGCCAGGGGGATGTAGAAGAGCTGTGGGCATGGCTCCCCAGGAGCTGGCTGCCCTGGTGACATGGGGGCACAGCTGTCGGGGGGCTGGTGGGACAGAGCACAGCATGGAGACTGCTTCACTTCCCTCTGCTCTGCAGTGAGAGGCACAGGCAGAGGCAGACAGACAGCCCCTGAGATACCCTGTACCAGTGTCCATCCTGCACCACAGCAGAGCTGCCTATGCATGCTGGAGCACAGTGGGACAGAGTAGGAGCAACAGCCCTACAGACAAGGGGCACAATCCCAGCACATAGTGACACCCAAGTGACTCCCCACACACCCATTCCCCTTCCCAGCTCACTGCTGAGCCTGTGCCCCTGAGCCAGGGGTGCCTGATCACCCCTGAAGAGGTGACCTTCCTAACTCCATAGCTGCAAGGCAGGAGAGCTTTGTGTACTTGCTGTTTGGCTGACAGGGCTCTGCAGTGATGCTCAAGCAAATGTTTTGTGGGCTCTGCTCCATGTCACGGGTCTGTCCCTCTCCTGCTAGCCGGGAGTTGTGCAGGTTTTCAGACCTGGGCCTCCAAGCTGGAGGGGCTGGTGCTGGCCCTGCCAAGCAGAGGAGAGAAACTGGGTGTTCGGGCTGGAAAGTGTCTTGTGGGGTGGGGAGTGGGACTGAGGCATCTCCCCATGATGCCTTATGTGTATAAATCCAGCAGGGGCCAAAGAGAAGCCACAGAGCAGCTGCAGACAGATGTGCAGGTTGTTCTCCAGGGACAGTACAAGCCCCAGCACCAGAACTCTGCCCAGTCCTGCTCTGGGTCCCTGGATTAGGGAAGTTGAACCCTTCCTACCTCCTTCCCTGCAACCACACAGCCTCCATCTCCCACCCTAGTATCAGGGGAAGGAGCAGAGCCAAGGATCCCTAAGCCTGGCACCCACATTCCCAACTGCTGGTTGCTTTGCTGAAGAGACAAAAAACATCCCATACACTCACCCGATGGCCCCATCCCAGTGCCCTCCACCACCACAAACTGGCACCAGCAACCCTACAGGATGGATGGGACATGGACACTGCAACTGCTGCTTGGAGCCCCACCAGCTTTTTGTGACAGAGCCAGGCTGGGGAGGGTTCTGCTGGGCTTGGGGCCTTTCCAGCCCAGCCTGGGTGCCTGCCCTCACATTCCTCAGCCCAGCAGTATCACACTGCAGCCATGATCCTGCAGGACTTAGCAGTGCAGAGCTGAGTAAGGGCTGTTCCTCCACCTTCCCACACCAGCTCTGTTCCAAACCCCTGGGAAAGGCAGGTGACAACCCTAGAGTCCCACTGGGGTCACTGCCTGGGTCCCAGGGTCAGACACAGGGCTGCCATGCCGGGAGCTGCTCCAGGAGAGCCGCAGGTGGGTTTATTCCCAGTGCAGGGGTGAGGAGGGGAACACGAGGGGGATGTTCCCCCTCTCACTCAGCCAAGGCCTCTAGGCACAACCTCAGCCCAGGCTGCGGGCTCCCCCGCTGTAACTCAGCTCTGCCACCCAGTGTCGCTTCCCGGGGAAATGCCACAGTGTAATAAATAGGTGTAAAAAGAGACCGATGCACCTTTTAAGCAAAGGAAAACCATGGGGAGAGTTACAACCAGTGACTCGAGCACAGCAGAGGTGCACAGACGGGAGCAGGCAGGATGAGGCCCCTCTTTGGGCTCTGTGAGCCCAGCCCTGCCTGGCTGTGCTCCAGCTGTGCCAGGCAGCAGCTAACGGGACAGGGGTGTCTGTTTGAGGGAGATGAGCACCGAGCGCATCCGCGACACATCCTTGCTCTGCTTGCTGCTCTTGGGATTGAAATCACAGAGCTGGGCCACCTTCTCCCATTCGGAGCCAGGGGTTTCCTCCTTGGACTCCTTCAGGAATGCTTCCTCCGAGGCCCTGCACAGACATGGAGGGTTGTTACTGGCAGAACCCCTTCAAAGGAGACCCTCCCCTCTGTTTGGGAACCCCTCATGTCCCTGCTTCCTGTCCCCTTGCTCCAGCTGAGGAGCTCAGCATCCTCTGGGATCCAGAGACACATTGATGCTCAAGGCTGCTGTTGGCTGCACTCACCCAAGACATCATTCATCCAGGGGCACTGGAGTGTCTGCCTGCTCCCAAGACTTCTCCACTCCCAGAGCCATCCCCCAAAAGGCACAAGACCCCAAGCTTTGCCTCTTCAACAGCCCCCACAAAGGCATTTCCAGGAGCTCCACTTGCCTCCTAAGACTCCACCATCTGGAGACAAGGAGACACTCAGCTGCACTGTTCTCCCTCTGGGACCTCACAATGACCCAATACCTCCCAGCATCCCCCCTTCCCTTGGCTGGGCAGCCCCAGGACCCCCAGACCCCGCGGGGCAGGATATGGTCCGTAAGAGGCACATACACATAACCGATCACATCGGCGTCCGGCTGCTGGTAAAAGGCTTTGTCAGCGATCCTATAGCCCCCGAGGCAGAGACAGAGAGAGAACGCAGAGTGGACAGGCAGGCAGAGGGTTAGAGAGAGAGAAACACACAGGGGGTTAATGTCCTCCCAGAGAGCGTGACCCACTCACCACAGCTCACACAGCACCAGGACAACCTGCACACACAGTGCCCCAACCCTGCCCCGGGTGAGGCCCATGCAGGGGGGCAGGAGGCACCAAGATCCCAGTGTGGTCCCAGCCAGAGCAACTCTGCACAGCCACTGGAGCCACTCACAGCCCCTTGCCTGGCAAAGCTCCATCCCTGCAAGGCTGGGCTCCACTGTGGGGAAGGAGGCCCCCAGACATCCCAGATCTGGCTGCACAGCCAGCTCCCATTGCAGCCCTCGTGGCCACGCTGACCCCAACATACCTGTTGTTTGCTCGGTTCTTCTCCATCTGCTCATTCTGACGCAGGTTCCACTCCTCCAGGTCTTTCTTGGCCTTCTCACGCCATTCCTGCTCAGTTACCTTTGATGCTGCATCTAAGGCCAGAAGCAAGACAGACCCCATTAACCAGACTATCATGCACTTATTCTGATAGGCAACTCTCCAGCAGGCAAGACAGCTGCAGCTCCCCAGTCCCTAGTACCATCTGAAAGGCATCACTGCCCCAAGGATAGCAGACCTTTCTTTGGCAGGGGTACCCACACAGTGTGTGCCACAAGACACCCCTCTGGGATGCAGCTGAGTCACCTCCAGGTGAGGGATACCATGGGACTCAACTGCCATGAGCATGGCCACACATGGCCTCAGGTCTCACCCAGCTCCTCCAGGCGCTTCTTCTGCTCCTCCCTCCACTTGCGGATGCTCTCAGGTTCCTGGGTCAGCCGGTCAGCCTTGGCTATGGCTGCGTAGGCATCGGTGGGGCCATTGGACTCCTGCAGGACACGAGCACCTCAGCATCAGCACTAGCTCTTTCCACAGCCACCTCAAAGGGCCACTCAGACAAAACAC